CTCCTTATCACCAACTGCTGCTTGAAAACACTCCCAGAAGTTCAACCACTTCAGGACGTCCCCATCAAAACTGGGTAGGTCTAACTTCGGGAGTCTCGGCAGACCAGAGGTTCCAGCATTGGAGGCCCCACCAGAGTGAGCAGGCAGGTTCGGATCAATATCACGAAGGAGAAGCTTACCAGCAGTGCGTAGCACCTTGCTGATACCGCTGCGAAAGTCAGCAGCCTCTTCCACAACTTCTGGCAGCTCCGACTCATCAAACTCAATTTCCAGCGCAGCTTGAGACGAATCTAGCGCACTCAACCTCTGCTCGACCTCGGCTTTCAGCTCTTGGATTTCATAGCAATCCGGCTCTGGAGCGCTACACGCCAGCTGGAGGGCCCTGCACGATCGCGTGGCCCAGCCCCTAGCCGCGGCGCGCGCTCTCTTCAATCTCTCCACGTCCATGTCGTCACCAAACCGACCGGCGTGGTATAAATAGACGAAACCAGCGCAGTACTATCTTGCTTCTGGGCACCAAACATCCAGAAGTACTCGATCAAAGATCACTGGTTCTACGTCCCGGGTTTCGGCACCAAATGTTCAGGAAACCAAACTTCTGAACTCAACATCAACTCTATTCGCCACTGAGCAAAAAGCGAACATCGGGCGCGCAGCTAACCGCCCATCACACGCAACAACAATGACACGACCGCAAAAAAAGAGAAGCAAGAGATGGAAAAAAACGGTCAATCACAAAACAAGCAAATCACAAATTCCACCTCAGAAAACACTACCCTTAAAAGCAATAAATCAATAAAAAAACACCAATTGATTTTAGAACATTAAACAAGGCAAAAAATAACCACGAAATACAGATGGGGCAAAGGCACGCGTTTGCCGCGACATCTATATCGGCCGCGGACCATAACCCGCGCCGTCTGGCGGCACATCGTTTTCTTCAACAGTGACTTTGGGAACGAGATTGGGTCTCGAAACTTGATATTAGGTGCTACCCCGTTATAGCGTTTTACGAGGAAATGCAGGAAACAAATAGCATATTACATAAATCTGTTCGCTGCGCTGTTCACCCGAACATGTCTGTTACTTGTCATAAATGCGCATTTTGCACGTAAATGATCTGGGAAGCCGGAATACCTCCCGCTTTGATATATTTTTCAGTAATAAAAAGAGCTGTCGCGGACGACAGAAACTTTTCCACTCTGATATTTTGCAAAATGTTACCTAGTTTCGATGTCTCCTTCATGGTTATGTTTTCTTTTGTGATCTTTTCAGTAATTTAGGTCAATTTGACGATTATTGATATATTGTCACAAGCCTGTAACCCATATGAGAGCTCAACCACACGATTACACCCTCGGTTATATTCGAACTGTTACAATGACCTTGATTTTCCTTTCTTGCATTGTGGTTGTTGGTAGACGTGTTCATCAGCCTTTCGGTATCTAACTATGACTATCATTTTATTATTTTCAACGTTATCCCTTTTTGCTGCTTTTTATGCCTCTCCTGGTAGATTGAGTGTTGCTAGACATAAATCATCAGTGTCACAGCATTGTCACTCCTTATCGTAACGTCAGTTACACTAAATATCTAGGTCAGTCTTGCTCTTGTATAAACTAGCCCGCAGTTAATGCGTGAAAAATATCTCCCGCCTGTCGGCCAGCTGCATTTGGCAGCCCTTCTAGCGGCGGCTGCCAGATGGTTCCTCTCCACGGCCGCCGGTGGTAACGCGAGACCCCCTGATGACGTCATTTGACGTCACTGAGTGACGCCACCGGTGCAAGGTGGTCCGACGGCCGGCCAATATTAGACCCATCTCTAGTCAGGGCCAAGAATGTTCTGAGCGCGCCCGCGGTGGCGGTACCACCGAATCCTGGGTACAGCTGGAGCCTAAAAGACAGAAGGGGAAATGAAAATAAATTACTCTAACACTGTCCAAATGGCAGCCTTCTTATAAACAAGGAACTATTGGAAAGTCGATGATGAGCGATGATGAGCAGCTCGAATGGAGACAATAAAAATAATTTTGTCAAAAATGGCACGTGAGCTTAAAGTTTTAGCAATGCATTTGCGATAAAATTATCATTTTCCTTCAAATTTGGCAGTGCCACATCCTAGTTTGTGAGACGGACATACTACATAGTCATAACAAGGACCAACACTCAAACACAAAAGAGCAGAAAATTTTGGGCGCAGTTAAAGAAGATTCACTTAACTTGTTATTCCAGCAAATAACTGTTGCTGCGATTAATAACAGAAACGTTTTCTTATCTTAATCATCGCCGACGTTTCGAAGACAAAGTGATATCGAAAACAAGCACTCTCCGTTAACACTTTCTATGTTCTTTCTTTCAGGGGAGGTCTTGTTACCATGACAACAAGGAGTACCTCGGGCTAAGGCCAAACACTAGATTATCAGTTTTAGAAACGCTGTCTTGCATGCGTAGTCAGTTTTCAGCTAGCGTTTTGATAACGAGAATATCGTTCACATTTCGATAGTTGCTCTGTTCGCTTCGTCAACAAACAATGCAGCTATAGTTTTTTTTTAAGTTTGCCCTTCACTGTAAACGTCTTTTTGAACACAGCACGAGAATTGCTAGCTGAATCACTAAGAAAACTGGTTGGCGCACATTGATTTGACCAGATTTCACAGACGATCAATTTCATCAAATTTATTTACTATTTCACAGACTCGTAGCTCGTATTTGCCAATAGCTACAGCCTCACAGGGATTGACGACTTCTCAGGAATTATGTCTGAACTAATTAATAAATTGCACGGCGCTTAACATAACGTTAAATCGTCGGTGTTCAAAACTTATTTTGAGAATATTATTCATATCTACAATACAACGTGCGCTAACCAGTTTTCTCAGTAATTCAGCTAGCAATTCTCGTGCTGTGTTCAAAGAGACGTTTACAGTGAGGGGCAAACTTAAAAAAAAAAAAAACGAACTATAGTTGGACTAAATGTAGGATTTACTTAAGCGCGTGCCGAGCAATGGTTCCAGTGTTCGGAGCTTTAAATTATTCAACATAATAGTCGACATTTGGGGCGTTCCACGACAAATCGACAAGTGCCCTGCACCCTCATATTTTATTTTTTGCTTAAAATTGGTCTAATGGGTTGTGATGGACGGGGAAGCCAGCTGTGGCAAGGATTTTTTTCTTCGAACAACGGTTTCCGAGATATAGCCTCGGGCAATTCTTGGAGTTTGCGCTGCAGCCCTATGTTTGGCGGCCTATAACTCAGAAACTATTGGTTTTTTACGATAAAAACTTTATATGGTTCAAATCACAATCAATCAACAAACATTTTGGCTATCTCGGATTTTCAATTTTTGAAAATTTTGATCACGTGACCTTTTGTCCTATTTTTCGAAGAGTAGCCTTGATATTTTTCCCACTGAAAGTTACCATTTTGTCTGATGACGATTAAAGCCTTATCAATTTTCATTCATATGCGATAATAAAAAAGTGGTTTTCGCCCTGCGTTGACCTCAGGTCAGGTCCTTTTTATGACCTGTCCATTATTACGAGCGGGAGCGACAGCGAGATCTCGAGAATAAAGCAAGATAGCGACAAGCGGTAAACGGTAAAGGGTACACACGGATAAGGTCTATATTTTTTACTGAGGTCATTTTCAGGTCAGGTCAAAGATGACGTCACAGGAGCTAGGTCACGTGATCTAAGGTCAACTTTTGACCTTTCGACCTTTCGAGGTCAACATACATATGTTTCGATGCGGATCGACGAGAGGATCACGATGGTGCTATTAGTTTGTTCCTAGCTGGGATACCTTGAAAGTTATTCGAGAAAAACTTCATATATATGTATAGTGCCGCTATTTTGACTTCCTTTTAGCTCCTGTGACATCATCTTTGACCTGACCTGAAAATGACCTCAGTAAAAATTATAGACCTTATCCGTATGTACCCTTTACCGTTTACCGCTTGTCGCTATCTTGCTTTATTCTCGAGATCTCGCTGTCGCTCCCGCTCGTAATAATGGACAGGTCATAAAAATGACCAGACCTGAGGTCAACACAGGGCAAAAACCACTTTTTTTATTATCGGATATGAATGACAATTGATAAGGCTTTAATCGTCATCAGACAAAATTGTAACTTTCAGTGGAGAAAATATCAAGGTCATTCTTCGAAAAATAGGACAAAAGGTCACGTGATCAAAATTTTCAAAAATTGAAAATCCGAGATAGCCAAAATGTTTGTTGGTTGATTGTGATTTGAACCATATAAAGTTTTTATCGTAAAAAAACAATAGTTTCTGAGTTATAGGCCGCCAAACATAGGACTGCAGCGCAAACTCCAAGAATTGCCCGAGGCTATATCTCGGAAACAGTTGTTCGAAGAAAAAAATCCCTGCCACAGCTGGCTTCCCCGCCCATCACAACCCCTTACACCAGTTTTCAGCGAAAAATAAAATATGAGTGTGCAAATTTAATTTTTTATTTGTCGATTTGTCGTGGAACGCCCCATTTGTCGTTGTGTAGTTAGTTCTCAGAGACGTAGATGCCAACCTTTTCATCGAACACAGCTTCCTGGCTGTTTAGAAGTTTAGCTCGTTCTGCTGTGGATTGCTACCCTTGTGTTGTTACTGAAGGAGACAATTTGATTTGTGTGTGTCTGTCTTTGCAAAATACTACAAATGGACAAAAACATGTCATCATTATTTCCGCAATGCGTAAAACCAAATCCAGGTCCACCTATGAATATCTAACACACTTTCATAAGGCTCACCATTTTTTCTTCATAAAGTTAAGCGGTCCATAAAACAGTTTTCGGTTTTTGAGCAGAATCTCATCTGTTGCAAAGCAGCATGTCAACAACTTTATATTATTCTCGCATTATGGAAAACAGTCCTCAATCCTCACCAGCACATATAAACAACGATACTACGTTCGCACGCTATCTTCCTGATTGGCAGCGTATGTCTGGTGTGAGCGTGTGCATTGGTTTTGTGTGTGCGCTCGTTACAGGTTGCTACGAACGTCCGAAACGCCGCACAGGATCGTCCCGATTCTGGACGTGTTCACACCCCGAAGGTAAGAGAGAGAGAGAGAGAGAGAGAGAGAGAGAGAGAGAGAGAGAGAGAGAGAGAGAGAGAGAGAGAGAGAGAGAGAGAGAGAGAGAGAGAGAGAGAGAGAGAGAGAGAGAGAGAGAGAGAGAGAGAGAGAGAGAGAGATGGAGAGAGAGATGGCGAGAGAGAGAGAGAGAGAGAGAGAGAGAGAGAGAGAGAGAGAGAGAGAGAGAGAGAGAGAGAGAGAGAGAGAGAGAGAGAGATCAGAAATATTCTCAAAGGCAGAGAATGGTAGGTATAACGGTATGTGGTATGAGATACGGCGTATGGTATGTATGTGAGAATGGTACGTGAAATACCAAATCTCCGCTATCAAATCAAAACACTTTCGGTAATGCATCGTTTCAATCTAAAATTTAATGATGCTGAGTCTGGACCATAGTGGAGCTATATTTCAAAGTATTTTCAAAGCAGCCTCTGTGCGATGGATGAAACATTCTTCTGAAAAACGAATCGAAAGACATGTGAGCTTTGATTCGAATACGCGAATGACATTCAAAGTTCAAACCTTCATATTTAGCGTAACATTTTGAATTCATGATAGAATATAACCAATCAATTCCATATTCAGCTTTGCGGCAAGGAAGCGTATGCCGGCACAGCATATCTCGCAGGCGTAGTCTTATACCGCCATCTATCGAGCAAATTGTAATCGAGACCTGGTAGACTGTGCCGCAATGCCTCCGGGCATGCGGCACAGCCTACCGCACAGGCAAATACTGCTACCGCCATCTATTGAGTGAAATGTCGTTAGATGTGAAGCGTTGGGGCTACCTTCATACTTCTCGGTTGGAATCATTGCATTTTACAACACCTACAACCTTAACTGGGCAATGTGATTTATCACCGATGTTAAACCTTTCCATGACGTTTTTTTATTTGAACCTTTACTGGCCCTCCTCCTGAGTCAGTTATATTTGCTCTTCTACAGACCCCGATGACCCCGACCCCGCTGACCTTTGCGGTCCCCTCGCTGACCTCTTGACCTTGTCGGCAGATTATTCACCACCAGTTCAACACGCCGGCTAATCTCTACAGTCAGGATAACATGGCCAGCAGTATCCAGCAGCAGACTGGAATTGCCCCGTGAGTTGGTCGGCTGGGAACCTCCCCGTCACGGAAATGGGACGTGCTTGCCACTTGGATTGTTCTGGGCTGTGGCTAGGCACAATGTTCAAACAACTGAAACTTTCTTTACAACTGGGTCTGACTTCTTGGGTTAATTTTATTATTTAAGGGTAATGAATGCTTGATATGTGAATGACTTCAAATGTGACTCTAATATGCCATTAAAAAAAAAATATCACGTTATCGTAGTTTATGGCGCAATATTCTGATGTCACGCTCAAACTATAATAGATATTAGTTGCAGTCTCCTTAACGTTTATGTATGTGGTCATTCATCTCCTATAACAAGTTGATATTGTACTATATAAAAAAACATTATCATTCTGGAAACCATGCAGCTTGCTAAATAAATATCTTATCTAGTCTTCAAAATGTCTCCGATGCTATTTTTTACCTGTTCGTGTTTATCTGATGATGTTGACGGGCTGTAGTGACGACGATGGCTTATTGGTAAATTGTCAGGAACGAAGCTCCTAAATCGCTAAACAACCAGAGAGCCAAGCTGATTAAGATAAAGATGAATATTAAATGCGAAGCAACTGGTTAAATCATCGCAGAATACACATGAAATTTGCCTATATTGCGTTGAATGATTATTTCATGCCCAGAAAGAATGTCAAATAGCTCCATAGCCTTTTACGCATGCTAGATAGAACAATAACAGGTATTTCCTTTGCAGTGATTTAACTCATTTGCTACGCCTTTCAACAATGCCTAATAGGGGTTTCCCAGATTGTTGCGTCAAACAAAAGCTGTTTAAGTGAGTTGCATTTATGTAAGCTTAGGTACACAGTAGCTTGCCGCTTACGCAGAATGCGGAGGATGGGGAAAATCCCCTTTCCGTCTGGTTCCTATTTGGGTACCGTGGCCAAAGCAGGCCTGATGCAATGCTATATATTACATAGCTTCGTCTGTACTTCATGCAAGAAGGCTATGCTTGATAACACTTGAAATGTTAATTAACTCAAGTTAAGTGAAGTTTTGAGAAGTTGAGTGGCTTTACTGAAGCCTTCATAACGTAATATTGAACTACAATGCCTCTAAGTAATTAGCGTTAGTAGCGACGAACAACACGCATTTTAACGACAGTATTTTCTACAAAAAAAAAGAATTGCACAGCGCCATTGAGCTGAACAAGGTGATTAAATAAAACATGTAATTAAACTGAAGAATTATAGGTACAAGCATGAGCTAAGTTGATCTTAGACTACACAGCCCATTTCTTATTCACACTCGCCCCTTCCCTCCCTCCCCCTATATTCAGTCAGGTGAGCGGGGCTCCCCGAAAGGAGTTCAGCATCCAGAACTCGGAGACTCTCAAGATGATCCTGGAGGAGGACCAGCAGAAGCCTGCCACGCAGCACAAGCCCAAGTCGCACGTCGTCTATGATGTTCACGAGGCCAAGGTACTGCGTCCCTATCGTTACTAAGAGCCAAGAGGCACAACCGCCCACCGCCGCCGCCCGCCGCCCAACCGCCGCCTGCCGAAGTCAAAACCTACCGCCCGCCGCCAACCGCCAACAGCCCGCCGCCTCGGCTGTTCCCGCTGCCTGCCGCCAGCTAGAACCCTATCAAGTGAGTTGGAGTGTGCTTGCGGCTGCTGTGAAAGAGGGAGGGAGGACTGGAGAGAGGAGTGGGGACAGAGGTCAGGGGTCATGGCGCTTTCCTTCTGTCGAAATAAAATCTTTAAGATGACTACAAGAAGCTACATAAAGCAGAGGTTCACTAAAGGACATGATGTGGAGTTTGCTAATGTAATAATTGAATGAGAACTATGCTCCACAAGAAATCGTTCGGGTCGGAGCTTTCGAATTGTATTAAAAAACTTCGTCAGCGTATCGTACTCGGGTTCGGGGGTCGAATCGCCCTCAATTTTGCGACCGATACCCCCGATCCCGATTACGATACGCTGACGAAGCTTTGTAATACAATTCGAAAGCTCCGACCCGAACGATTTCTTGTGGAGTAAAGTCCTCATTCAATTATTACATAAAGCAGAGCTTATGAGAATAAATTTTGCTTTAAATCTGGAAATCGATAGTTCAAGAGAGTTGCACTCTTATACGGGCGTTGTTTCTATGTAGTGGGTAAGCAAGGTATTAATTAATAAACTTTATGAGCGTGTAATTAGTGCGAAAAGAGATTTCAAACTTAGCTTACCGAGTGCCAAACTTGACCTTTGAAGCGGGGGAGGCAAAAGTTTGAAGCTCTATGTTCAGAAGAACTGCAGGTACTTGATTTTTGTTTTGTTTCTTGTCATGTTTTGTGGAGCTTTATATGATTTAATTTAACCTTAGAAACAAATTAATATTTTTTCTCAGACGTTAGCTTTCGTTTCCAGCTGATTAAACGTTACGGCATAGTTGTTTAAGAAAAAGGTACAAAATATCAACTCTAGAGCAAACGCCATGGCCCCATTACGACCAATGTCACCCCCTCTCTCTTCAGTCGGGCATCAACACTTTTCTGTGGTCAACTCACCATCGCTTTTGCACTTTTTTGACAACTCAGCAACGTAGTCGCGTTTTGCTCGGTGGTTCTTACATGGCGAGCAGCCGCCAGCTCACTCCGACTCACCGGCGCGTGTCTTACACTTTCTAACCCTCTCACCTCTCTGTAATATCACTCTGTCGCTCTCTTTCTGTGTGCTGTCGTCCGCCGCCGATCTGACCGGTTCCACCAATCAACGGTCAGGAAAATTATATTATTGTTTACAAATTCATGTGAAGTTTATCATGGATATGGTTAGCCAATGTACCAGCCTGTCCCTTCTTGTATTGCCTATTTTCATTCTTGTATCGCCTTGCCTGGTTCTATTATGTTCCTGCTTGTCCATTGTCGTCCCATTATGTTCCTTCCTAACTCGTCTCGCTTATTCCATCCATTATCGATTCCTTCCACCCACTTCTTTTCCCTTTCCTCCCATTTTTTTAAATAGTTTTACGTTTTGATCCTTTTCTCTGTCTCACTTCGATTTCTGTCCATCTATTTTTTTTCATCGGTCGAGAAGAAGCCCACAGTCCCTTTGGATCTCTATTATGTCTTTCTACTAAATCGTGCTCTCCCCAATGCAAGGTGTTCGACTTTTTTAGGCCAAGTATGAATCTACTGTGTACACTATCTTCCATCAATTGGTGGATCTCAGGTCAAACCGGCGGCGGAGCAGCTCTGTACATGGATTCGGTAACACTGAGTGCCCCCTGACGTGTCTATATGTGTGTGCATCTTTACAGAGATACAATCATAGACCGACAGAGACAGAGACTGTCTCTGTCAGAGATTGATAGCCAGAAACTTTGTGACAGCGTCCCCCGGGGACTCTGTCATAAACCAGGCTACCCATCCTTCAATGCGATCCAATTCAGCATTCATGAACTATCCCAGGGGAAATAAGACGTAGGAACAGATCATGCAATGCACATGCCACCCCACGATCGATGTCTAGCTCTGTAACTTTATGCTACAATACATGTGCATTTTCATTATAAATATTCAAGCTGTCATGCACAAATAACCTGATTCAATGTCGATAATCGACAGCTGATGTTCATTTTAAAGTTATGTATAGAAAATGGAAAGACGTAAAAACAAGCAAGAAATACCTCACTTCGAGGTAATCTTCAAATAATGAAATCACTTTTTCTTATCACTCATCATAATCAATGAAGTTTGCCGTGCATTCGTATTTGACACCTTAGCGATGGCCGATTAATATATAAATGATATTGACCTTTGCTTCTTGACAGCTGTAATATCTGTACCAAAAAACAGATCGCATTCGTTTCATTTCACTCGAGAGGATAACGTAAGCAATCAACCCAGTTATAACAGTTAAATATGATATTATTTGAATATCTAACCACGTTAGCTATGTCATCACATGTCGGTGAATGATATCTTTCACAGGGCTATTTACAGCCCCTCTATCTCATCGTAACGTCGCAAACATTTTTAACGTCGCAGCGTGATAGCGCACACTGAAAGGAGCTTAAATATCCTAATGCCAACCAATAAGTATATTACTTGATTGATAGTCAATTTATTAATAATGCATCAATACGCCTCAAAGCCTAAAGCGTTCATCACCATCCCTCTAACTAACTAGTTATAACTGCTTCTAACTAGTTCGAAGTAAAGCTACTGGAAACGGATTTCATCCTTCGCATTACACATAATCTAAGCTAATGGGCACATTTCAACTTTCATCTGCTATTTCGCTGATCAGCTGTCCACCCAGTTTCGCTCGCAGCTGCTTTACGCCAAATTGAACACGACACCACCACTCGCCCGGGCCAATATTTGACCACATTTCAATAACCTCACTCCCAAACCACAGCGTCAAAATTAATCAATCGGATCAACCGGCCCGGTCCATAACTACCTCATCTGTGGCGGAATTCAAGGGCCTGCACGACCCCCAGCAGCCTGTGCGCTCCCCTCAGTCCTGGCGGGGGAGGGGCAGGGAAGGGAACGTCAGGGCGTCTGGTCGACGGTAGCTGCGGTATTTTTTAGCCTCTGACAGTGTTGTTTGCCCCTGGCGGTGCCAGCTAGGTGTCTGTATAACAGATACGGGCTGGCTGGCTGCGGTGGCTCGCCCAGCTGGCGCTGCTGCAGCTTTTGAGCTGCCACGCTGACCTGCTGAGCTGCCGTAGCTGCCCACTGCCCATACAGCGAGTTCAGCTGTCCAGTTGAGCCGCCGCAGTTTTTGAGCCACCGTAGCTGTCCCTGACGTCCGTGTTGAGCTAACCGCAGCTTGCATTTTTTAGCCACCACAGCGCCCTGTTTAGCTACCGTAGTTGCCCTGTTGACCGCAGTATCTCCTCAAAGGCA